GATAACCTTGAGTAAGTAAGCCAATCTCTATTTCTTATTCCATAAAATGGTGTAAATGCAGCAAAGAAGTTAAGAGTAAAAGTTCCGATATCAGATTGCCTGGGTTTAAATCTCCCCTTCATCCCTTGTAACCATGTGAATTTAGACAAGTTACTGAACTATTTCTTTATCTGAAAAAGTATTTACTTTAGAATTGAAGCTAATTAACTTAAATGAGCTAATTCATGCAAACTGCAGAGAGAAGCACCTGACACAGTTTTCAAAAACATGCTATACAATTTTATATTTGTCCTATATAATTGTATTTCAGAGTTGAGAAGAGTTTTTAATGATAATATATAAATATATGAGAAGTATCTGGCACATAGTAGGTGCTCAAAAAGTGGTAGCATTGCTATTATTCAGTGTATTAAACAATTTTTATAACGGGATACATTATTTTCTAATGTGGTAAAATATTTAGAGCACAAAATATTCTATTTAATTATTCGTGTGTATGCCATAATGTAGATAGAACACCCAGTACTGGTGTTGTGGGTGTGGACTCAGCCCCTCAACAATCTCCATCACCTCCCTTCAAACCACCCCAATAAACATATACTAAGTAAAAACAGCTTCAAGACACATCCCTAAGCCATTCCTAAACCATAAGTCATCCCTTACGCCCCCTCCAAGCTAAAGGCCACCTCAAAGGTCCCATGTTAAAATTCTGGAACTACCCCTAGGACAACTGAATATGAAAGGTAATGTTAAACCAATATATATGAAGGAAATCTAGACTAATTACACCTTTTAAATAGCTCCCCCTCCACCCCTAACACTCTTAACAGTCACAGTTGTACTTAGATATTATTAAATGTAGTATCTCTCAATGAGTGGTGTTCCCATGTGAGGAATGAAATGAAAGGAGACCTGATTCTTCTAAAACACTTCAGTGCACGTAAAGTGCCCAGGCAGGCATTGCATTTCTTCTTCATAAACCTCCCTAAAATACTCTCCTATAGGAATTCTGAGCATTATTTTTTACAACTCTGATTATGGGATTTGGGCACCAACCTGCAATAGAAAACAAATCAGATTCCTTTATCACCAAGTGGCAAAAACAAACAGCTTTTACCAAGTTGTCTACAACAATTCCTACCCTGGAAAGGTCCTTGATGTCCAAGCCAAGGTAACTAACAAGGCTAGTTTGCCAGGGACTATCCCAATTTTAGTATTGTAAGTCCTTTGACCAAGGTAAGCCTCCAGTCCCAGGCAAACCTGGACACTTGGTCACCCTAACTAAAGCAAAGAAGATGAAATAAAAGGCAGCATGTATAGATTCTGAGTTCCTCTCTGTTAGGTAGACACAAATATAGATACAGATAATGATCACTGGCCCCAGCATCTCAGGTGCCTTATGGAGGCAGAATGCATTGTTTTATAATAACAACAATTCTGAACTTTGGGGAATCCTACAATTTCAACTTTACTAAGGAGAACCAAGCATTTCTTGGAGCCTAGGCTTTTATAAGCTAAAATAAAAATTTTAAATGAGAAATTTCAGGAATTCAAGTCACTGAACTAGGCTACCCACCTCTTTCTTCCTGTTTGATCTTTGAAGATTAGCATTCAGTATTTTTCATGACATTTATATTGAGGAAGGAATATAAGATTATTAAAAGCAGAGAAACTCAATATGGGAACGCACATCAAAAGGTCTTCAAGACAAAGGAGGGATCATATGATTTGAAACCAGAGTTTCTAGAAGCATGTGTGCTGCACTTCATTTCCTAGTTAACAGCGTAACATACGTCAAAATATGATTTAAAACACTTCTCACAGCTGAGCTGACATTTGGCAATCCTCAGCCTTCTTTTGCTCTTGAGGATGGGGGTTCAAATCCGAACGAGGTTAACACTTTGTACTAGTACGTATTCCTGGTAGATGAGGAAAACAGTCTTATAGTTTAAGTAAAATAAAAACATCTGTTCAAATCTTGAGGGAAAAACTTGTTTTTAAAAAGAGGGGGAGGAAGAAGCTTGGTTGTTAAAGCTGGAGATGGCCTCTAACTTTGCCAATGTTATATAATTACACTTTCAGTTGCCTTGCTCACCTAGGATAAAAACTTGTACGTGAATCTTAGCTCAGTCTTCATTTTTCAGTATGCCACACCTATCTTATCCCCTAACCCTATCTAAAGCCATATGTTAATGTCTGCTAACTGGTTTCAAGTCCTTTTCACACTAAATCAGCGTAAACCCAATCCAGTGAATAACTGACTTTTTGCCACATAATTTGTCTTGGTCAGTAGTTGTGCACTCTAAACTTGTATGTGAATCTTAGCTCAGCCTTCATTTTGCAGTATGCCACATCTATCTTATCCCCTAACCCTATCTAAAGCCATATGTTAATGTCTGCTAACTGGTTTCAAGTCCTTTTCACACTAAATCAGCGTAAACCCAATCCAGTGAATAACTGACTTTTTGCCACATAATTTGTCTTGGTCAGTAGTTGTGCACTCTGGGTAAGAAGTTATATTAGTTAGCTATTGCTGTGTAACAGAATATCAAAACTTAACAATCTTAAAACAATACCCGTTTCTTAGCTCACATTTCTGTCGGTCAGATCTGGGCACAGCATGACTGAATTTTCTGCTCAAAGTCTCACAAGGGTGTTGTGTTCTGATCTGGAGTTCAGACCCTCTTTTAAGCCCTTGTGGCAGAATTCAGTTGCTTGTGGTTATAGGAACTGAGACCCTGATTATCTTCCTGGCTGTCAGTCAGTGGTCACTCTCACCTCCAAGAGACAGCCCACATTCCTTGCCACGTGGCCCCTTTCATTTTTAAAGGTAGCAACAGAGAATCTCCCTCGCATGGAATCCTTTTCACGTTTTGAATCACTGACTTTAAGAAGAGCCCAGTCCCATTCATTTAAGACTCACCCAATTAGGTCAGGCTCACCCAAGATAATCTCCCTTTCATAAAGTTTACTGTGCCGTATAACAATCACAGGAGTGAAATCCATCATAGTCACAGTCCTAAAGATTGTGCAGGGCATTAAAGTCTTGGAGGTCATCTCAGAATTCTGCCCACCACAAAAAATACAGTGCAACATTTCTCTTTTCAATCCTCTGGGCCTATTTTTAGGGGGAAAGACTTTGAGAAAAAAAACCCGAGAAGCATATAGTAAGACTTAATTAAATCTACTCTCCACTTGAAGGTACAAAAGTGATAAAAGTTAATATCAAAATGATTATCTAATAGTTGATATTTTTGAAACTACATGCAGAGTACTACAAATATATTTGTAAGTTACACGTCAGACTGCTTTTTTAATGAATTTATAATCTAAAAGAGAAAACAGAATACACATTTAGTTAACAGATGCATATAGGGCCTTTATTATGTGCCAGGCACTACTTTATACAGCAGTGGTCCAGCTTTCTTGGGTTGACATTTTAGTTGAAGGGAACTCAGAAAGTTCACAAGTAGACATATAGCCAAAAATAAACGCACCAAATATAACATAAACAAAAACAACAGTTGCACAAAGAAAATTATTGAGAGTAGCAATACTTCATTAAAGAAGGCTAGATAGCTCACGTGGGAGAACATGATACCTTTGTGAGGCAAGGCGGCCTCGTAGTTAAAAGCATGGACTCTGGAGCTAGGTATCCTGGGGTCTGCATCTGGCTTTACTGCATTCCAGCTGTGTGACCTAAGGAAAATTATCTAGCATCTCCATGACTCAGTTTTTCTTATTGTAAAAATTAGGATCATAAGAGTACCTACCTCATAGAGTTGTTTTTGAGGATGAAATTAATTCCTGCAAATTTTCGAACAGTGTGCCCAGCATATGGTTAAGTGCAGATATTGACTATCACTCTAGGCAGTGACTGAACGCTTGGCGGCATTTTTTCTTTTAATCCTCACAATAATCCTGAGAGGTAGGTATTATTATTAGCTGCACATTACAGATAAGAAAATTTGGGTCCAGGGAAGTTAAGTAACTTCTTTAAGGCTATGTAGGCTCCTAAAACATAGCTATGCTGGGTTACAACCCAAAATTCTGAGGCAGGAGATGGGAATCTGAGAAATTTTAAGTAGTTTTTTCTGTTCCTGGAGCAATCTCACAAAGTAACTATAGGATTCCATGACATAATAAGGTATGCGAAAGTATTTTGAATGGGTACCTGGCCATGTGTTAGATATTGTTATAAGCGTAGACCTGTACCTACTGGCCACCTGATAGTTTCTGATATTCAGAGAAAGAGAAAGGATCATTTTGGAGAGGGACTTCAGGTGAAGGCTTCTGTGACTTACACCCCAGACCCCGGGACTTTACCCTGACCCTCTACACCAGTTGGTGGGCTGAGAGAGACAAGGATGCCGCCTTAACGGTGGATCTCATTGGCCTTTCAATGTAAAACAAATGGATCGCATTGGCCTTTCGAAGTTAGACAATTGGCTGCGGAGGTTTCCAGAGGTCTGCCCCCTGTCACTGATTGGGTGAGAGACACTCGCGCTCCCACCTTCTCTCTACTTTCCCATAGGCCTGTTGCTCGGCAACCGATTTGCGTCCTCCTGCTTAGTGGACACCCAGTTACACTAGTGAAGTAGAGACAACAACCTTCTACCACCTCCGTAAGCTTTCTCCTCTTAACACCCCACCCACTTCACACCCAAACAACGCGGAATTGTCCCAGGTGCTCGTCCAGGTTTGCCTTGAGACTGAGCTGTGGGCTGGCGTTGCAGTGACGCGCCTCAATCAAGAAACGTGCCCAAGTTTTCTTTCTGAAAGTCTTCGTTTAGAGGCTTCAGGGGAAAAAAGAAAGCCATTGTTATATGCTAACTTAGAAGCCACTTATGTGGGAAGCACACAGCGTTCTGAGGCTCTAGAAAACAAGCAACGTAGGTCAGTTAACTAGGAGTGAGAGAGTGACCCGTAACCTCACACACCTGCCTCAGAGTAAACCCTAGGAGTGTGGGAACAAGTGCTAGACCCTTTGCTGCCTTATCATGAACAGCAGAGCTCACTTCTTGCTGCAAAGAGAATTCCAAGAGTTGAAGGACAACGATTATAAGGTGAGTACTGGGGACCCGGAGGGAAGTGTTGGACCCGGAGGGAAGTTTCACTGGGGTACGAATTTTTTTTTAAGCAGTATAATCTGCGTTTATTCTTTAAGGCATGATTTAGTTAAGCTATATCACGACAGTATTGTTAACAACGTATTTCATTTATAATTATTTATAATTCTTAATTATTTCATTATAATGATAGTTAACAATATTGTGCTGAGTAATTTATGTGAATTTAAGCCCTGAATATCAGGGTCTATAAGGTAGTAAGTGGCCACCAGTAGGTGCAAGGTCACTCTCATTAATTACAATACTGTATGTAGTGTTTTTGTTTTACCTACCAGAAACTTAAGCCTCAGAAAAGTTCAATAAATATTTGGCCCCAGAATTCTATCACAGGGTTTTCTGACCCCAAAACCCTTTGCTCTTAAGTCTTGTGTTATACTACTTACTGTCCAGCACACTTTTGCCAACTGCTGTCACGTATAACATATAAATTCCTTTCTCTTATAATTTTAACACAGGAAAACTTCTTCTCAAATGCCACCGATGAGGTTATCAGTGTTGACGGGTGCCTCATGCTGATTTATCACATGTAGTATGGAGATTTTTAAAAATGGAAGAGATGGCGGAAAAGGGAACACATGAGAAAGAATAGAAAAAAAACGTCGTCCATAGCAGGAGAGTGTAGAATGCCAACTACCAACAGTTGCTTCAGGGTAGTTCAGTGGCATTATTCTGTTTCCACCCCTGCCATAGAAATTTTGCCTTCACTGGAGATGTTAGGAATAATTATTGAGTCCAACAACAAACTTCCCAAAGGCATAAACCTAACATTTGATATTGTTTCTGCTCTACCTGAATTTTGTTGTTCTCTGTTGAAAGATAATTCCATGAAGGGAAAAATGATGTGTAATTATAGATAATGTAGATAATAGCAATATATTATGTTATGATTTGTAATTATAGATAATGTAAATAATAGCAATATATTATGTTTATACAGACTAAAACCTAACATACTTAATAACTATGTGGTTGCTCAGAAATATCTGTTGAGTATACTCAGATCTACTCCTCAGCATAAATGATAAGGTTTTCTATGAAATATATTCTCAATTGCAGGGAAAAATTATTTTAAATACAAACATAATTTTGGAGTTGTATTTTTCTTCATGAAAATTTTCTTACTTCAAGTCTTCCATATAGCATCCATATCGTTTTTAAAAGCTCTGAAAAAATGCATGCTTTTCAGTTATTGTCTTTTCTAATTTGAATCTTAAATTGCCTATTATGCCAGCCACACGGCCCAGTCTTGACCTTCTAGTCCCACTTGTGATTTCCGTACTTATGACTTATTTTAAACTTTTGCCTGTGTTTCCTGGAATCTACCTTAACATCTGTGTAATAGGACAATATTTAACACCTCCCCAAATCAACAAATAAATAAATTTATCAGGAAAAAAATGTAGAGTTTTTTGGAATTGATCATAACCTGATATCTGATTTTTTTTCTACTTTGACTTTTTTTTCATTTGAAGGGTATTGTTGCCTTTCCTGTAAGTGAAGATATGATGGAATGGGAAGCTGATATTGAAGGTCTACAGGATACATTTTGGCATGGTATATACTTTCAAAGCCAATCTACTTTTCAAAAAGCCTTTATGCCATTATTAGTCTATCTTCTTTATTCGTAAAATTAGGCTGCATTATGTAAATTTTATAGAAGTCTGAAAGTATTCACATGTTATTTTTTATTGTATGGCTTTACTTTTGGCCATTTGTAAACATAGATGGAAATTTTAGGTTTAAATTTTTCTTTATGCCAAATCTTAATGTTATTACATTTTTAAGAAACAGGCACAATAAAGGATAACAATTGAAAATATATTCTAACACTCTTCCATGAAATCAGAGAATAGCTATCAAAATTCTGGTTGGCATCAAAATCCCACAATCATCTCTGATTTTTCCCTATGCTTTTCCCCAAAATTTCCATAAATCAAATTCTCAAGAAGACTGGGCCTCTATAAACTTCAGTGATCATGCATTCTTTCAATCGTGGAGTAATAAGATAGTTTTGTTTGTTCGTTTGTTTGTTTGTTTTTGAATGAGGCAGGGAGAACATCATGTAAAGCAGACAATTACAATAAAATATAATATGTGCTATTATGGATTTTAAACAGAATGCGTAGGAGGCAGTGATTAGTTATTGTTCCTTGGAGAGTCAGGAATGGCTCTGTAAGGGAGCGACATTTGAATTGAGTCCTGAAGAATGCATAAGAGTTTGCCAGGTTTGGCAGGAGGGGAAGGATATTAAGACAGAGTAGACAAGGGGACAGGTGCTTAGGGGGTTGGAGTTAGTGGATGAAAAGAACTGGTGAGAAACAGGCTGATGAAATAGTGAGATTAGTTTGTGAGGAGTCTGTTATACTATCTAGAGGGGTCTCTGTACCCTATGATCCAATTTACTTAAAAATAAAACTCTTTAGACACGTTGGGAGGCTAAACTGTAGGAAGAAACTTCAGTGTTACAGTTAACCGGTACAATATGACACTTTAGTAAAAATGTTTGTTTTTATGTCATAGGAATGTCCTTCCAACTGACAATAAACTTTACACCGGAGTATAATTTTGTCCCTCCAGTTGTGACATTTAGAACCATTCCTTTTCATCCAAATGGTAAGGACCAAATGAGATTTTTTCCATCGGGGGCTCTGTCCCTATTATCCTTGTTTCTTGTGAGTGTTTTATAATGTTTATTTTAAACATTATGGTTATTAAAGTAAGCATGCTTACTGGGGAAAATATAAAAAGAGAAAAATCATCACCTTGAATCCTAATTCAGAGAAATACTGCTCTCAACATTTAACCAAATTTATTTCCTTTTCTCTGTGTATTTTTCCTACATAGTTGCAGTATTAGATATAAAGTTTTGCATCAATTTTTTATTTAAAATTACATAAGCTTATGGCTACGTTATTAAACATTCTCCAAAAGATCATTTAATGACTAAATGTTAAATGTAACAACTCCTATATTGTTCAATAATTTAGTTGGACTAATTTTTTATTATAAAAATGATAGGCTCACAAATTAACATTTTAGAAAAAGTTGGATTACTACCTTAAGTTATACACAAAGTGAATTTCTGATTGATCAAAAATTTAAAAATTTTCAATGCTAAAAAGAAAAAGTCTAATAGAACTTTTATGGGCTCGGTGAGGAAGACCTCTCTAAATATGGTAAAACCTAGAAACCATGGGAAAAGCATGACACATTAAACTACTTTTAAACTTCTCTATAGCTAGTGACATTAGAAACAGACAAAATACATTGGCTTTTTCAAAATGAGGGAAAATATTTGCAACACATAAAACAGGATATCTGTAATATATAAAGAGTGTGTGTGAATCAATAAGAAATCAACATAAAGCAATAGAAAAATGGACAAAGACTATAACTAAACACTTGGTAGAGGAAACATAACAAAAATAATTATAAAAGGATGTTCATCCTCACTAGTAAGAAGATAAATGAATATTAAAACAAAAATTGTGACTCATCGTTGTGTTAAATGTTAAAATAATAACATGTAATTATTTTATTGGAGGTGGGCGAACATGGGTACTCTAACATTATAACTTTAGTGTGACCTTTTGGGGAAGCAATTTGACAGTTTTCAATTAGATATAAAATGCAAATAGCCTTAAATTCCTGTAATACTATGTTTATAAATTATTCCATAGAAATACTAGCACAAGTGTGGAAGAGTATGTTTAATATTTAAATGTTTGTTTCCAATAACACTTTTGGAAATAAGGAAAGGGGAAATAACCCCAATATCTATCAATATAGGAATTTTTAAGTGAAATATCCTATAGTTCTATATATATTGCTCTTAAATAGAATGAGGAAGATCTACTCTGTGGAAATGTGAGGGAGGAAGATGAGGGACTAAGAATACCCCTTCCTGTTGTATTTAATCCAGTAATTCCACTCCTAAGTGTTTATTTTAGGCAAATAATGGCAAATGTACACAACATTTAACCAAATTTATTTCTTTTTCTCTGTGTATTTTTCCTACATAGTTGCAGTATTAGATATAAAGTTTTGCATCAATTTTTTATTTAAAATTACATAAGCTTATGTAATTTTCTAGGTTTTACTATATTTAGAAAGGCCTTCCTCACCAAGCCCATAAAAGTTTTGTATCATAAATTTAATTTTATTCTTTGAAAATGGGTTTTAATTACAAAAGTAATGATATACTTGGAAAAAATTACCTAAAAGTATATAAAATAAGACCAGGGGCAAAACAAAGATGCCCACTCGACACTTTTATTTAACATAGCTTTGGAAGTTCTAGCCAGATCAATTTGGTAAGAAAAAGAAATAAAAGGCGTACAAATTGGAAAGGAAGAAGTAAACCTGTCACTACTTGCAGTTGAAATGATATTATGTATAGAAAATATTAAAGACTCTCCCAAAAAACTGTTGGAACTAATAAACGAATTCTGTAAAGTTTCAGGATACAAAAATCAATATGCAGAAATCTGTTGTGTTTTTATACATTAATAAAGAGGAGAGGAAAATATGGGAGAGCTCGTGATTGCTCTTCTTTCTGTCCCTCACCCCCAGGAGGAGGAAAGACTTATCTAATTGGGGAGATGTAAGAAAGAACTGAGCATGTGTAGCTCAGCACCTTCTCAACACTTTCTTTCCAACCAGCCTGATCTTAGAATGGGTGTGGTCTGTTTCTCCAGGCAGGAAAGTTAGGAAGAACTTCAGTTGAGAGATCAAGTTCAAATCTGGGGGGCTTTTGTGGAACTCAATTAAAGCATTGATCACGTGCATTCTCCATTTTAGTCTTACATACAGTAAAGTTGATATTTTTTACTTGCATCTTTCAACACTCTAGTCTATTTCATTATATATGAACCTTGGAGTAAAGAAGTATTGTTTATTAGCTACCAAACTCCAAAAGATGACTATGTACAGATCTAAATCTTTAGATACATAAAGCCAAATTGCCTTTCAATGATGTTGTACACACCCACCAGGAAGCGTATACTACTGTCCAATTCTGGGCATTAAAATTTTGGAGAAAATTTTTTTTTTTTGCCAATTTAATAAGAATCTTTCTATTGTTTTAATAAGTACTTCGATACTTGTGAGTTAAACATTTTTTTCACATCTGTAGATTGTGTGTCTTATTTCGTGAATTGTCAGGCTTATTAACAATGTTATCACATTGTCTTAGATGTTGCAAATGTTTTCCTTCATTCGTTATTAATTTTTATATTTTGTTGATACTATTTTTCTTACACCTAGAATCTTAAAATTTTTATGTAGCTATATTTATTGTCTTGTCCTTTGAGATTTTTACAATTATCTTCAAGCTTAAATGATCTTCCCCCTCAAAACAATCAAATAATTTTAACTTTCTTCTAGTTATTCTATAGTTTTATTTTTCATAGTCTATTCCTTTTTTTTTTTTTTTTCAAATACAGATTTAGTTAGTTAACTGTGTTAGGGACAGGCTAAGCTTCTGTATATCTTTTCAATCTATATATAATAGAAAAAAGCTAGCAGGGAGGTTTTGCCATCTTCAACATATGGCTTCCATTTCTGGATATGAGGCATTTACTTTTTGTCATCATTTTCAACCAGTGGGAAGAGGGAAGGAGAAAGAGAAAAAGGACGAAATAACTTCCTTAAGAAAATATGATCCAGAAGTTGCACATTTTACTTCTGCTTATATCTCATTTTTGAAACTTAGTCCAATGGTTACATCTTGCTAAGGGAGAGGCTGGGAGAAATAATCTGAGCAACTATATGTCATCTAAACAGCATGGGGTTATGAGGATTGAAGACAGGTATAGTTTCTTATTACAGAGAGAAGAAATAAAGGAAGAGTAGATACTGGAGGATGATGAGTAGTTTGCAACACTATACCGTTTTTTGCTTTTACCACTGAATCATAATTTCACTTTTAACATACAACAATTTTAATACATACTAGGGTTGGTTTCTAAATTCTCTTATTACATTGCTCTTTCATGTCTAATCTTGTGTCCCACTACATCGCTATAATTATTGTGGTTTTATAATACAATGTAATATATGAAATCAAAGATTCCTTTATTACCTTTTCAAAATTTTCTTCTCAGTTTTTGTCTCTTTATTGCAAAATTCTTCTTTTGGAGTATAAATGTTTTTCTTTTTCATTATAAAAATTATTTACACATTAGTAAAAATATTATTAGTAATGATATCTATCATTTTCAAGGATTCACTATATGTCAGGTACTCTATTTAAGTACTTTATTGTATTCACTCTTTACAGTGAAGGTAGGTACTTTAATTATATCCCAATTTCACATATTAAAAAAATGAGACCTAGAGAGATAAAGTTAATTGTTCAACATCACATAGAGTCAATGTTCAAATTTGTGTGTCTGACACCAAAAGTCCATGCTTTTAGCACTGTATTAAATGTGTCATATTCATGGCAAATAATTTTTCTTCTTTTTTCATTTGCTTTAAATTTTACCTATATTTTGATGTTGATGAGTTTTTAATAATTTTATTATATATACCACTATTAATATTAATGTATTATTTTAATACAGTAGACCAACATACTGGTCGACCCTGTATAGATTTTTTAGACAGCCATGACAAGTGGAACACATGCTATTCATTGAGCAGCATCTTACTTACCCTCCAGGTAAGAACAGATTAATACAAATTGCCCTCTTTAATACTTTTAATAATCTTAGTTATTCAAAATATAAAAAATAAAATATGTATTGCCTATTTAAATATTTAAAAGATTTGAGTAAGCTTATTTAAATCAATGACACTTCTACATCAAGACTATAAAATGGTACTTGAATTATAAAGACTAATATTTTAAAGTGAAATTGTTTGTTAAAGCCCCTTATAACAGAAGAAAACTGTGTGGATGGCTTCATTTCTAGCAATATAGTCTTCAGTTTTCTTTCAACTTCTAATTTTATTTTATAACATACTTTTATATCTTTCTTCATTCATAGACCTTTACTTCTTCAGAGAAGTGAATCAAGTGATTACAACTTAAAATGTTCAGCTTTATCCTGTTTTCTGACAGAGCTAGCTGCTTGCTTTCATATCAAACCCAGTGAACAATTAAACCAGAGATTTTCTTCTCACCTCAGATAGATGCCTATTTCTAGAATGCCCACTTTACTTCCTGATCCAAGGCCCTTAGAAGCATGCCCCAGTGTGGTGTTATTCTTGACCCTCAACAAGGCTCTTTTCTCATTCAGTGCCAAAGAAATGATTTCAGTGGTACTTGCTTTGACTATTGGTATCTGGCTGAGTTCTGTTCTATGTGAATGGGCCTACTTATCATAACATGTGAAGATAAACTGCTAAATTTTGATTATCTAGAACACTAGGATAATAAAGTCTACTGGCTTAATTGAATTTTTTAGTAGCAGAATTATAATACAAATCCCATTTCTTCCATTTCTTATTGTTTAAATAAAATAATAGTATTCTGTCTAATCACCTTAGAATACTGAATAAAATTTTATCTTTTTTAAAGAGTCAATATTTCATTTACTCATTCTTTCACTTATTCATTCATTTTAAAAATACATATGGAGAGACCTTTAGCAAAAAATTTAAGGAAGTGAGTGAGCATGATATGCAGATAACAGGTTGATCTTTTGGATTCCTTTAAACTAAGTCATAGTCCTAACTTTTCCACCTAAACTAGGATCTGCCTTAAGAATAGAAACTGAGTGTTCTCAAAAAATGTAAATGAGTAAGGGCAAACCAGAATGAAATGGTGAAAATTTTGAGTTGCAGGATAATTTAATAAAAGGTAAATTTGGGATTCTGAGATTAGATTGCTTGGCTTCATATCCTGGTTCTGCCTTTTAACACCTCTGTACCATTGGACAAGTTTCTTCACATCTCAATGCCTCAATTTCTTCATCAGTAAAACGGAGCTGTCAGTAGCTACTTCATTTAACTTGTAAGGATTAAATGCATTAATACATGTAAAATACTTAGAACCATGTGTGGTCCAAGAAAATAATTCAATAAAGCTAGTTAATATTACAATAGTTCTTACTTTTAAGCAGTAATGCAAAGTGACAACAGTGTTGTCATGAAAATATATCACGGAAAGCCAGTAGATGACAAAGTTATTTGTCTTTTTATTTTTCAAACAGATTTGTAAAACAAATATGCCTGCATTACAAAAGATTTTTAAGACAGTACAAAGGAAAACAAAATCACCAGTAATCATAAAGAAAAACCCGAATCCTACCGTTATTAGCATTTCCTTCTGATCTTTTCTCCTATTTTTCTGTTTAAAATCTTTCAGTTCCACATTCACTGCAGAGTAAAGCCCAGTTCTGTTGTCTGACAAATGATTTATTTCTCACACCTGGGCTCTAACATACCATGCAATTCCACTCCTATAATATCTTCATGCTTTTCTTTACTCAGAGTGCTAAGTTCACTTCAGGTTTAAAAGCATTTCTAGAGTTATAAACTCTAAAGTTACAAACCTAAGCAAGTCTTGGACCTTTTCTCTCAGTCTGTCCAGCAAACAGCTGCTCGCATTTTAAGAGTCAGGTCAATTGAGCCTTCCTCTGAAATGTCTTTCTTGATTTTCTTTCCTAGGTGGAACTGATGGCTTTGGTTTTAGAGGGACTTCCTTTGCCACTCACCCAGAAAGCAGTATCCTAAGCAAATTTCTAACAGACCTTTGTAATACTGTAATGCATATACTGGTTTTTTTTAATCAGTCTTACCCTACTAGACTACAACTTCCTCAAGGTCAGGGAATAGGTCTGATTAGTCTTTGATTCTCCAATAACTAACTACCCAGTACAATGTTGACATTTGGTAGGAGCTAAGTAGCATGAATGGGAGAAAGAACCTGAATTTTTGCATCATTGCAATTATGGTACATAGGTATAAATTATATAGCTCGTTTCTTTTTCACTTAACCTTTTATCTCAAGTAATTTTTATCTCACTATGGTTAATATTTTAATGTCTATTGAATAGTTCTTTCAAGGTCAATAAGTATCATTAGAACTTTCTGCACTTATGGACATGTCCACTATCTTCCTTGTCCAATGTAGTAGCTTCTAGTCACATGTGGTTACTTGAAATGTGGCTAGTGTAACTGAGGAACCGAGTTTTTCATTTTATTTAATTTTAAGTAATTTAAATTTAAATTGTCATACATAGCTAGAGCCTACTGTAGTGGACAGTATAGACCATAATTTCTTATACTTCCCTTTGAATAACAGATGAGACATATTTGTAATTATCACATCGTTATTCAAGGGAGTGATACTTGAAATGGTGTTTAAAATATTTTTATGTCTTTTTATACTAATCATCTCCAAATTTTTTTACAATCTTAATTTTTTTAACACTTCCGTATGTAATGCAAAGGTAAACAGCAACACCCATTTGTAGAATGAATTTCAAATTCATGGTCTTTAACTAATTGGATATTATAAAATATGCCTACTGGTGCAGTTGTTTACTGATGTTTCAGATTTTTGTACTTATCCTCTGCAGAGCTTCCTATGTTATTTTATACTATCACATGGCTAAGTTAAAAGTTGGATTTTTCTGTTTTACTATTGTAGCAGGCCGTCTGATTTATATGTTTTAATATATTCCTTATAGTCCAGTTCTTAAAAATCATTAAGTATTCTTAGTATCTTGTATACACATTATATGCAAAGGTCTTAGGTGCTGTGTCAATGTAAAGACTATTGAATAAACTTTACCAGATGTGCCTTTCTGAGTATGATTATCTTTCTGGCCAAAGACTAAAAGCTTGTTCTTGAAGATAAGTTTCATCTGCTTCCCACTCACTTTGGAAGGTGTAGTACAATCCACATTGATTTTTTAAAGGCAATTATAATATCCTTGGAAATGTAGCTCAAATGTATTTTTCAAATAGGAAAACTCAAATAGCAGAAAATTCTTGTTGCTTTTGAAATATTAGATGTTAGATTATTACTTTCATTAGTGAAAGATTGCCATCATTTCCATGACTCTTAAGTCACAATTATCCACTTTGACCCACATCTACATTTTGGTATTCTATTAGTTATTATTTTGATTATATTTTATTATATAGTCTGCATGTTATAATGTAATATTGAAAATACTGAATTATTAAATGCAGCTTGGGCTAATATTAATTTTGAAATCCAGATAAACAAGATCGTGGTCTAGCAGAACTATTAAATGTTGCTTACTACTGGTCCCCTATTTTGTTCAGATGCATATACATTACGGTAGACAGACTTAAAGATATCTTCCACCACTCTCATCCTCTGGTTATTCAATCAAACACTAGTCTAGGTAATGATGTGAAAAGACCTTGTAGGTGAAATTAAGGTTACTAATCAGCTGACATTAAAATTAGAAAGTTATCCTGAATTATGCAGCAGGGATAGGGGAACAAAATAATCACAGGAGCCTTTAACAATAGAGGAGCAAGGCAGAAGAGTCACTCAGAGATACAGTGGAAGAAGGCGAAGGGATCTGGCAGGAGGGGACACTAGGAAGATTCCAAGCATGAGAAGGATTTTTCACAACTTTACTCCCCCTGTGATATAGGGGTTCAAGTGTGAGGACCTGCAAGAGACCTCTTGGAGCTGAGGGTGGCCCCCAGCTAACAGTCAGCAAAGAAACAGGGACCTTGGCCCTACTTATCCAAAGGACTGAATTTAGCTAACAAACAACCTGAATGAGCTTGGAAGCAGATTCGTCCAGAAACTCTGAGAAGAGTCCAGTCAGCCAACACCTTGGTTTCAGTCTTGTTATATCTGAGAAAGGGAACACAGCCCAATCACCCTAGATTTTTCACCTGCAGAAGTGTGAGATAATAAATTTGTTTTTTTTAAGCACTAAATTTGTGGTAATTTGTTACGGAAGCAATGGAAAACTACTACAGATAACAAATTAATCATTAGATGATCTGAAGAGATATTGAAGTGTATACAAGCCTTAATATATGTGTTTGTTTTACCTATAATCTAAATATGATCTCATGTTAAAGTGCAATTTTAGTTTTTAATGAAAATGTTTTAATGTTTCCTAATATTTAGTTTCCTTTGCACATATGTCCAATTTAAATCTATGTGACAGCATGGAATAAGTTATAGGAAGGAACTTATAACTCTCCTTGATCATATTTGGCTAATGAATATACAGTATAAAACCAAGATAAATTAAGAGTTTCTCAAGAGTAGGAACCATGTCTCGTTTGTCTTTGTATCTCTCTCCAGGTAAATACAATGTAGGTATTTAGTAAATGCTTCTTGAGTATTGTTTTATGTATTGGTTTGTCTTTGTGCTCTAAGAAAAAATTTACTGAAAATGAAACCTACGTTCTATATTTTTCCTGTAGGTTATGCTTTCTAATCCAGTGCTAAAAAATCCAGTGAATTTGGAAGCTGCCCAGATACTGATTAAAGATGAATCTATGTATAGACAAATAGTTCTAAGACTTTTCCACGAGCCATTTCAATGTAAGAACCGCCTACTTGTTATTTGACAATTATTAATTATACATTTATAGAAAATAAATGATCTAGCAAATAACTGTTGTAAGGGAATATTTTCTGTATCCATTTTCAGTAATGAAATACTAAGCTCTCTCTTACTGCACCTTTTTTTCAAACCAATCAGTGTGATCCTTTGAAAAATATTATCGAAGATCATAAGCTTAGTATCTTTAAATGTCATATGGATGGATGGTGCCATTGAAATGAGTCTATCCATTGTAAAGATATGATATCTAATTGTAACTCTTTGATCGATCATGGATGTTTTCCAGATCTCACTTGTAGTACCTCAGAGCTTACTGATCTGGGACTCCTTTCCTCTTCATTAGCAAAATGTTCAGTGTTTTCTTTTCTGGAGAGTCCTCCCCTTGCCCCCGTAATCCTTCTGAGTCCATGTGGAAATGGCACCTGAGGTTCTTCAGTCTTTTTGCTCTGTTGACCAATGTTTTTCTGATGCCCTTGGTTTGTTCGCTCTCATCCTGCCAGCGACATTTTCCGGACTCTTAACTCCATCACCGCCATTGCTCCTATGCGCTCTCTGTAGTTAGCAAAGCAATGCTCTTGGCTCCTTGTGCCCCGAAGGGTTTGCCACAAGTGAGGGTTGGGTCTCTAGTAACAAAGTTCTTTCCTTTAAATCCTGTTCCTCCTCTTCCAGCAGTACACAACAGCCTGGCATAGTAGCTGGTATCATTACCTCTTCAATCAGCAGGCTTTGCTGTTCAAACTCACTTTGGCAAACTGATCTCTCATGTGCTTTATCTCTCAGGTGTCCATTATCTCTTTCTAGAAACTGCAAGTCCATTAGCTAGGTCTATACAATTGTGACAATGTTCAAGTGCTCCTCCGCAGAGCTTCAGGGTTTGATACAAATCTTTTTCAGTAACTTCAGACATGTAATATTGCTGACAGTTTCGAGGCTGGTTTGTGCACCGAAGAATCATATTGCTTCACTCTGACCACTTTCTGACCTACCAGAATATTGTAGCATTCACTGCTGTATCCTCTGCACTCCATAGTTATTTGTGGAATGAATGAATGAACGAAGGATACATATCACTTAACCTTTTGTTGAGCCCTCCAGTACCGTCATTGTAAAGAAAGATTCTATAACAAAGCTCTGTGCATATTTTGGTAAGTGGAAATTTTAAAACTGGCCTTAAAGAATTTTCTACAATAAATGATTCTATGTAGTAGAGTTGATTTTTGCCTTGCAAAGAGAAAGGATGAGAAGAAACTTGAAGAAAAATTGGCCCTTTCCTTTGTCCTCCTGTCAGGTAGATGCCATCCTTCACTCCTTTCGGTTCTCCAACTTTGCCATCAAACCACACATAAAGGCTGCCCCGATTGCAAAATCACTCAGCCAGCGAGGAACAAAGGAATGATACTTTGGCAGGTTTTTGCTACATTCTTTAGTTATGTTGGTGAAATATGTGGAAATTCAAGACAGTAAGTAGTTATTAACTTGCTTGCCTTCTCAGCTGGACTGGGAGTGCTAGCCTAGGGTACCATGATTTTCTGCAGC